TGATTCACCCCAATTCACCCTCATTCACTCAGATTCACCCTCATTCACCCTGATTCACCCAGATTCACCCCAATTCACCCTCATTCACTCAGATTCACCCTCATTCACCCTGATTCACCCAGATTCACCCCAATTCACCCTCATTCACCCTCATTCACTCAGATTCAATGTTATCTGGACACAGAAACACAGAAGTCATTATTCCTCATAATGGATCCATACTGTCATCAGATTCTGTTTACTTTCTCTCAGCCTCTTTGTTAAAAAAAAGGAACTCTGACGGCATTTCCAATGCTGAGAAAAGTATTTTTCCCCTTACAAGGTCAGACACTGATGTTGGACAGACTTATGGCGTTGAGATGGAAAATGAAGCTAATCTGAAATCCACATGATGTTTGGAGAGTTCACAGCTGACTTTAGATATTTAGGAGGGAGGAACGTCCATGACTGGAGTCTGTGCACCAATCAGGGTTGATTTCACTGATGCTTGTAATGTGACTCTGCATCTTTAGTACATCTGTAGCAAAGGAAGTGACCATCATCTACATGTAATGATGATACAGTCCAACTCACAGCAAAGCAACACTGACTGCAATAAGATTTAATGTTGACAAAACATTTTCTAAAATTATTTAATTACACATTTTCCTATAAATAGGGTAATGTGAACATTATCCTTTTTAAATTAGTTTTTTTGACAAAGAGTCTGAAAATTATTTGTTGGCTTCAGCTAACTGAAGTAAAGGTTGAAGGAATAAAATGTATTTTTCTTTTCAGCTTTGAGTTTTTAAATGAATACTTTGTGTTAAAGAGGAAATGTTGCTACGTTTGCACCTCGACACAGAGCAGCTCCCACCGAAAGCATCAAACGGTTTGAAACGTGCTAATTTCCTCCAGACTTTTCTGCTGCTGTAAAAAACAAACTGCAGACACGATTATCAACTTCAGCACAACTCGGAACACAAGCAGCGGCTTCGCTTCTCCCAGATGGCCGCTGTGGAGCGCATTCTGCCACAGACAGTGAAAGGCGAATTAGTGAGCCGAACTAAATGAGTGTCAGTCAGTAGTGACTGAATTATGTGGAACACCTTCAGTCTGTAACAGACTTGCAGCAGGAGCGAAGCGGCTCCCAGGGGCCCCGCGCCAGCCAAACCAGGGAGTGTGCTGCCTGTGAATCACTTGAACTTCACAATAAACAGTTTTCCACCCACATTAGGTGCAGTTTGGCAGCTGCATGCAGCACATTTCATAGATTCATTATCAATATTTCTGTGCTGCAGGGCGGCAGCTTCGATGGAGTCTGTATCTGCGACTAACTGTGACGGTCTGAACGGCTCGGCTCGATGTGGGACCGTATGATTGCCTCAAACGTCTACGTGTGTGTGAGTGTCTATGCGTTTGTGGTTGCCATGGAGACGTGGCAGCACATGCGTCGCAGAGAAACGATCAGATAAATGTCACAGTTGCTTAATGAAGCTGCACCGGTGCCCTGACGCTCAGCTAGCTCTGCGCTAACGAGCTCCTGCACGCCGCCGCCCACTAATGAGAGGAGACACTCACACGGCGAGGGGAGCGCGTCGCATTCGGCTCATTCCTCATGTTTTAGGTTTCCAGCTTGCATGGAAAGAAGATATGGATTATTGTTTTCTATGAATTAAACGGCCTATAAGATAGTTTAAAATCCAGTCAGCAGCTTTTATTATCCGTTTGTTTCTGCCGCTGCGTGAGGAGGACACATTATGACAAATTAAAACAAATATTTATGTTTAAAACTATTTTATTAGAGTTTTAATAAAACTCTAATAAGGACAAGATAAGCTAAACACTTCTGGAACAATTCAGATTTTTCCTTTTCTTAAAACTATTCCTGGTTGAATTGAATATGAAACAGTGACAATAAAAACAAGAATACTACATTTCCTTCTAAATGAAAAATATTTTCCATGTTATTGGACAGAATAAAACCTGAATGAAAATGATTTCAGTATTTCAGACAAAATAGATTTTAATCATCTTAATGCAGACAAGAACCAAAAATAGTTCCTCTGGTATTTGCTGGTTTTATGAACTAGCATGCTAATGCTATGTAGCTATGCTAGCATTAGCATGCTAGCATAGCAAAACATTATTAAACATTACTTTGAGGGACAGTGTGCTACTCAAAATAGTTCAGGTGAATGGAAAATTATATCATTTATATTTTTAACACCCAAAACATAAGCCAAACAGATGACAGTGAATTTTAAAGTGTAGTTTATAGAAGTTAGCTAAACTAGCTTGTAGCTACAGATCTGGTTCAGGATGAAAACCCGTGAAGGTTTCACCATCAGACAGCAGCCGGCGCGTCGCTCCGCGCAAGGCGGAGCTGATCCTGTCGTTACCGCAGCAGCTTTAATGCCAAGCAATGCTTCAGACTATTTCAAAATAAGAGCATGTGTGAAAAGGCTCAGCATCATTAGTGGATCTCACGCCATCTTTAGTTTAGAGATGTTGTAATTTTGCTGATTTAAGTTGGTCCAGATGCTAGAAAACCTCATGAAACAGCAGAGAGTCGATCTGTCAGCCATAATAAAACCCAACTGGGAAGGCGTTCGGTTCGAATGCTACAAAAACTGATGAAAACATGCAGGAATGTCAGTCAGGTATTTAGAAATGATGCATCTGCTGGAGCCTTGGAGAAAAATGTCTTCATTCCTCAGAGACGGAGTCAGTAACGCAGCTATTTTCTATCCTTCGTCTTTATAGTCTTCCTCAGTAAACACGGCTCAGTTTAATGTGTAAGTGCTTTTCAGTGACATACATTAAACAAACCTTGGAAATGGGTAAAGCTTTGAGCAGATCACTCCTGGATTCATGCTATTTCTGCAGCTCAGACTCAAAACAAGCCGGAATCCAGCAGAAACATCTGCACTGAAACCAGTTTCTGTGATTCATCTGCATCAACCTGCTGCAGCTGACGGGTTGTTCAGACAGACGCAGCTCCGCGTTAGTCATCGCCTCTTTACATACAAGCTGCAGCTTTTCATGTCGATCCCAGGAGCCTTGAGGAAGACGAAGGTGAAGAACGACGCCGCATGCAGAGGCGGCGGTGCACTCCGGAGTGAAAGTAGTCATGAAGAGCTAAAGGTGACCAGAATAAGTAGATTTATGCTGATTGTGACCAATAAAGGTCATCTGGCTTTGATTAGGACCAAATGTTCTGCAACTACTTCATTATTTAATATCATTTCAGGCGGGTATTCTCAGCTTTTGCAAATTCAGACTAATAAAAAACTCAAATATGATCTGATTCCTGCAGAAACTCTGCTGCAGGTTTATATGTGCAGGTATTTGTACTGTAGATTTCCACCCAAAAACCTACAAACTTTGACATTAACTTTATTTTTTTCAAGAAACAAACTTGTCAGATGTCGAAATGTTATAAACTTGAGGAAAAAAATAATTCTGCGCGATTAAAGGCAAACATTTACAATATTAAAACTACTAATCTGATGTTTAAATATTATTTAAATCAATCTGAAAATAAAATAATTACCAGTAAACCTGTGGTTGATTCCCAGCTGTAATTCACCTTCATATTAAATTTAATGTATTCTTAGATTATTGTACGTATGTATATTTGTTTGGTTGTTTATTATTTTGTTCTTTTTGTTTTATACACATTAAAGGTTTTATCTATTTATTCTCTAACAGAATTGCAACAAAAATACCAGATTTCCTGGAAGAGAATATCTGAGTTTTAATATTTTAAATTTATGTTTTTATTGTCGGAAACTTGTCAGATTTTTCTCCCAAGTTCCTTCTGACACTGGAGACTATCCTGGTTATTTTCTTTAAATGTGTGAAATTGATCTCAAACTTCCTGAGGTTTTTGTCAGATGAGCTCGACTCTGTGGACGTTTTTAAATATTTTTATCGACACCAAGTTTATAAATCTGTCTTCATGATTTGGCTGCAGGTAAAGTTTAATAACCGTCTGATCACTTTCCTCACTTTGCTTCTTTCTCCTACATTTATTATTTGCAAATTTTGTTTTGTTTCCCAAACTCAAAATGATCAGTTTTCCAAACCAAGCCACTTATTTAATTTTCTTGTTTCACATAAGGAACCCCCGGCTCACTGTGTCTCTGTTTAGCTCTTCCTCTCCACTGTCACCACATGCTTGCTCTCCAGAATTACTGTTTTAAAAACTGGGAATCAATAATCTGTGAATCTGTCTGTATAATTATCATTTAACTGAACTTGCTTTGCAGAAGGAAGCTGCAGAAAAACAAATCTTTCTTCCAAATTGGCTTAAAAATGCATATTTCTGTCCATGTTCTTCCTGTAGCTGTTAGTAATTCTGATATGTTTGATCTGCTCATTAAAATTCAACATGCAGGAAGCCGAAACGCTTCTTTATAGCCAACAGCTGCAAGTTGAAGAGGTCAGGAGAAAAAGAAGAAATTCTAAAAAAATTATCCAATAATTTCCACACAAAATAAGACAATATTCTTACACTGAGATTATTCCTCGCCTGTGGCCTTTTGCTCTGGTATTTTTCATATTTTCACAGCTTTTTAGTCATGAATTATGCATCCAAACAAAAATCCCTGGGATCACAAAACACTTTATGACCTGAATTATCTCCATGCGTGACAGCTGACTTCATCTCTGCCTCATTCTTCTGGTTAAATTCGTCTCGGTGAATCCGGTTATTTACTGTGACTTCCTAAAAGCCGAGCGCTGGGAAGGAGAACTTCCTGTCTGGATCCGATCCAGACGTGGATCCAGTAACAACCCAGCAGCTTCTGATGCAGCGGCTCAGGCAGGAAACGCTGAACTGCTGATGAACCTGCATGCAGATGAAACGCCGCTCTGAGATCTGACCAGGATGTGATCAGCAATAATCTGGAACCAATAAATCGATAAAAAGTTTAACTCCGAGGAAAACCTCAGAGCAGGACTGAGAATTATCCTCCTTAAATTATGCTTTCTAGCTCACATCAGCATGACTGAGAGTTTCTCTCTGTGTGTGTGTGTGTGTGTGTGTGTGTGTGTGAGATGGAGGGAAGGAAGGGGAAAAGGAATTAAAGCATCTTAAAGCCTCAACAGCAGATTGGTCAAATCCAGGCAGCAGCAGCAGCAAATTTCCCACTAATCTCCTGCACACTTCCTCTGCTCTTCACCTTCTCTTCCTCTCCTCTTCCTCTTATCGCCTCGCAGTGGGAACAAAAAGTGCGGGGTAAGAGTGGCTCGGGGCGCTGGGTGTCAGGTAGGTGGGCGCTTCCTCTCTTATCTGCGGTTGGAAGTAAAGGTTGTGTCTGTGCGCCGCTCCGTCTCCATCTCTGGTGTTTGCGATCTTAATTAGCAGCGGCTCGCTGCGGCGTGTGCGCCTGCGCGGCCGGCGCTGACATGGCAGCGGCTCTGATTGTCTGGCGTCGCTCCGCTGTGGCTGCGCTCTGCCAGAAGTCATCATCTGACTCGCCGTCAGGGACGATGGCCCGTTTGACTAATGCTGCGCCACAAAGCAGCACAACAACAGCGCTGCAGCAGCAACAAGAACAGAGGTCAGAAAGACGCAGATTCATGATAAAGCTTCTTGGTTATGAATCAAACTTTTCATTTAACCAGTAAATTCTCATTGATTGTCACTCGTACGATCAATAACGAAGCTATTAGTAATCAAATTAACGCATTTTAATGATTAATTAGGTGAATTTTGCTTCTATTTGATTGAAACTCCAAAGTTTTAGTGAATAATTTGTGGCAAGTCAAAATGAGCCATGATTGGTCAATCCGCTGACTGATTGACGATTATCTGAATAATCACGATCAATCATTTAGGCCTAAAATGATTGGTCAGAGGTCAGAGGTCAGAGGTCAATATTCCTGCATTTGGTCTATAAATACCAGATTATACAGGATTAGAGATGATTTAAGCTCAGGGTAGAGTTAAGTATGGAGACGAGTCAACAAGAGTTTCATGAATGTGGATTTCTGGGTGTTTTGAAGCTCCAACCGGACGGATCGTTTCCGTCCAAAGGTGCAAAAGCGTCGCCTCTGTCTGGAGCTCCTGAGTTTGTGGCATTAAATCCGCTCGGCGCGCTGATGCATGCTGGTCGTGACACCTCTAAAGGGACAACGGAGCAGAAAACCACGGGGTGTGGAGGTAAAACCGGAGCGATAAGGTCAGCCATGCAGCCACGAACAACACTGATTTAACAACACGCCTGTTTATTCAACTGGCTTCAGCCCAATTCTGCCACATTGTGAGCAAACCGCTGTGCAGTTTGCAGAACGAAGGTTACAAAAGCTTCGCATAGCTTCCATTAGCATCTGGAGAGGCTGCTATTTTCACGCAGCGCGCCGTTAAAACCAGGGAAAAGCTGCTGAAATGGGCTGTGCACCTGTTCTCTGAAGGTGTTCAGAGCGCTGCTGTGGAAAAGACGGGCTGGGATACTTTAATCAACCATTATTACACACACACACACACACACACACACACACACACACACACACACACACACCATGCAACCTACAGAGGAAGGAGTGGTTCTGGAGAGAAACTGGCAGCAAAAGGAAGTGGAGTGGAACACGGAGGAGACAGACAACGAGGGGAACCTGATTTATTCCCAAGCATGGGAGGGCGATGTTTGTTTGCTTTCAGAATGACGGGAGGAAGAAAAAGTCTTTTGCAGCCGAGAAGTTCCTCTTTCTGTGAGAAAGCACATCTGTAAGCTCTTGTTTGCTCTGTAATTTGCCTCGTAGATCATTTCATGGTGGTTGCAACTGAACGCGTTTGTGTTTTTGACCTCAGGCTCCCTTTAAAAATAAAACACAGCTGAGGCGTTTTGTCCACATCTACAACACATTCCTCACACGCAGACACACACACACACACACACACACACACGCAGACACACACACACACGCAGACAGCTACCCGGCTCGGTTCATGCTCTGCTCTCCTTCATGCTTTCTCTTTTGTTTTCCGTTGTTTTAAATAGTTTTTTGTTAGCATGCCCTAAATGCTCCAAACATTTCTCAACCACGTCTCAACGTTAAAAACACAAGTTTCCAGCTTCGTCTCAAATATTCTGTTAAATATTTTGTCCAGAATGTGAAATTCTGTAAAATGAGAAATTAAATTAAAACTTCAGTGTCAGAATTAAATCCTTCCTTTTTAGTTCAATCTTAATTGATTTTGTGTCACACCAACCTGTTCCCCTCCTGGCCTGTGGGGGCGCTGCACCAAGAACCACTGAAGGAAACGACAGGAAACCTCTGAAGACACTGAGAGCAACTTCCTTCTTCACCAGATGGAAACAAGATGGAGGCGTCAGATTTTGGTGTTGGAGGATTTCTCTTTATGCTAAAGACCAGGAGCCATTTCTGCTGCTAGTGCTAGGCTAGCACATTAGCTTTGGTTACATTTACCCAGAATGCCCTGCTCTGCAGTCCACTTCCTGCTTTTGGAGCGGTCTCACATTCAAACCGAACCAGAGTTCACTTCAACCGAACTCAGACTGAGGTCTGGAGGACCAGAGGTCAGAGGTCGACTAGCATTCACACCACACCAACCAAACTGGACTTTCTATGCAAACGGACCGGAGTCTGATTAAATCAGACTGAGCAGGGCTGGTGTGAACGCTCCCGTTGTGCAGTCCGGATCAGACAAGACGCTCACATGGGAACATTTCTTTTATCGACTGATTTAGCGTAAAATTGAAAATGTCTGCACCAAGTAATCCGTCAAAATGATGGAAGGCCTTGAGATTTTTCCGATTTAAAGAAATCGATCAAAGAAAGTATTCCAGTAACATGACGACCCCGGCTGCAGGTCAAACCTCTTTTCTCTTTGAACCAACAAACTTCAACGCATCTTCTCTCCCAACATGTTTCACAAGTCAGAAAGGCTGTGGTTTATTTAGCTCCTGTTAATTAGTAAAGTTCCTGCGCTGACCTCTTCGGACCACCTGCCTCTTCTGCCTTCAGTATATTGAAAATCAGTTGATAAAATGCAGCGATTCCCAGTCTGGGTTGAGAGCTTCCCAGAGAATGGAGGCTCTCCAAGCAGCCTGAAGCCCACAGGTATAATGATGCAACAGAAGCTGTTAGTGGAGCGGCGGGGTGAGCTGAAGGTGGGGAAGAAGTGGATGATAGCATTAAGGGGCATTACTGTGGGTGGGGTGTTCATTTTCATTAGGCTTTATGGGTTGGAAAAACATTGTCATGCATACCAATTAGAGCTGGAACAGATGGTCCAGTGTGGTTGGATGTTTCGTCTCCTGCAGACGCTCGCGTGTGTTCGGCCCGGCAGAACCGACCGAGGCAACATCACCAGTTGAGTCAACAGGAGGGAAGAGTTCAGGCTGACAGCTGCTCCTCCGCTTCCTTCCCGTCTCCTTCCCTGCTTCCTTCCCGCTCTGCCCTCCGTCCCCGGCCGGCCCCTCCAGGGCCAAATTAAACCTTGATCAGTCTGTTCAACAGCCTCTCCGCGGAGGCAGCCATATGCTGACATATGCTGACCGGGGGGGGAGGGAGAGGGCTCGTCTAATTATTCACATGCATGTGTGTGTGTGTGTGTGAGCTTGGTGTCTCTGTGAGGTCCCCGATGCAAACACTGTCAAGTCAACACAAAGGTTTGACTGATGCGGCTTTCCAGGGGCCAAACGTGAGAGTTTTTCCACTGAATCTAGCTGCCAGTTTTCATTTGTTGGTCGAGTTTGCTTCTTTTCCAGAAATGTGTCCATGAGAGAGCAGAGAAACCTTCTGCAGAAGCAAGCAGATGCTTACAGAACATACTAATAATACAATTTCCTCGTAATAATGATTCAGATCAACAACAAATGGCCTTTGATGCAAACGTGTGGAGATTTGAGTATAAGGAGCGATTCAACTAATTCAGCAGGCAGAAACAACAACCTTCTCTGAAAACTCAATATTTCAGCACTTAAAATGTTTTGCAAATGAAAGATTTGAAGAGTTTTCTTTTATGGTGTTATAAAAGGCGCGTTTTAAAAGCTAATATTCTGCTACTTTGAGCCAAATGGAAAGACAGAAAAAGGAGATTAATTTTAAAAATCATTAATTTATAGCAACATGTGACCCAAGATCTGCTTTAAAGAGTGGCAGGTAATAACTTATAACCATGACATATTCAGAACTAATTATTTTATATATAAAAGGTGATAAAAAGGCCATTTTCAGAAGCTCTTCAGTGTAAATATTTACAGAGATCAATGATTTATCAGTAAACTGATGGATGTTCTTCACTTGAACTTTGGTCTAAAACTTGAGAATGCAAATAAAATGACTTTATACGATTTTGAGTGAAATTGTTTTGGTGACTCAAAATAAATCTCAACCAGTGGAGCCAGAAAAACCAATCAGTTCTGCAACCTTTAGGCTGTTTTCCCTCCTGACAGTCCAGTAAACTCGGTTCGACCCAGTTTGTTCCACCTCCAGCTGCTGTGGCTCTGAGTCACACCAACCTGTTCCCCTCCTGGCCTGTGGGGGCGCTGCACCAAGAACCACTAAAGGAAACGACACAAAAACCTCTGAAGACACTGAGAGCAACTTCCTTCTTCACCAGATGGAAACAAGATGGAGGCGTCAGATTTTAGCGGTTGGAGGATTTCTGCTGCTAGTGCTAGGCTAGCACGTTAGCTTTGGTTACATTTACCCAGAATGCCCTGCTCTGCAGTCCACTTCCTGCTTTTGGAGCGGTCTCCGGTCCGCTTGGCGTTCACATTCAAACTGAACCAGAGTTCACTTCAACCGAACCCAAAGGCTTGTAGGAGGGTCAGATTCCCCAAACGAACCGGGCTTTGAAGCAGACGGGAGCTGAACAGGGCTGGTGTGAATGCAGCCTAAAACACACCAAGCCAACCTCCTGCTACTGTAAACTTGTCAACTTTTTATGAAATGTAAGGACTGAGGATGTAAAGAGGTGAGGAACAAACCCAGATCAACACTTTGGACTCATCTGGACTTCCTCACATAGCTGAGGCCTTTTAACCGGATCAACCCATTTTATATGTCAAAGCTCTGAAAATGAACTCTGTCTGTCCAGTTATCTTGCCTATAATCTAAACCAAAGATAATTGACTGCACCATTATATAAACCAGTTGGACTCCATTGTATTTTCTGGGACATTGTCTGAGGTTTTGTTGAGTACAAGCATTCAGTGCTTTGAGCCGTGTTACTGCTGTAGAAGCTGCAGGTTGAGAAACAAACATTTCAAAAGCTCAGAAATAATCCCCGAACTATCGACATGGCTGGATATCAGCGGAGGGGAGTGAGAAACTATGTTTTCTTGTGCGTAAATTGAGCGAATCGGCCCTTTAACACCCTCCCAGCGGACCCAGTCCGACACTTCAAAGGCTCCTTTGTACAACTTCTCGCTCGGCTTTACAATCGGCAGCGGCGGAGGATACAGGTGCGCCTCCCCGCTTCTCAGACGTTTTCATGAGCAAAACGCGGCGGCTGCGGCGTTAGCCACGGCTCAGTGGCTCTGAATGGGGAGGCGCTAACAGGCTAGCGCTTCCCATTGATCTTTGCTGCTCACTAATAGCAGACAGTGGAGACTCTGGCTCTCCAGGGCCATTAGGATGCATGAGTGGGACCGTGCTAAATGGGACAATACACAGAGGTGTGTACAAGGGTAAATACACTCCAGTTCATTGGCGGAGACAGATCCAGCTGCTTATATTCCTCCGGCTAACCTTGGGATTGCATTACCCCGGGTGTTTGTCTAGCGTGCGTTGTGATATACGGATTAAGCGCGGCGTTACAGCGTGACTGATGCCGCCTTATTTAGGGGCGCCGTTACATTTCCAAGCTATTATTTCAGACCTGCAGGGACAAGGCGTGGATTTGAGTGTGACAGGACACACACAGATACAAACAGAGGAGTGTTTTGGTGCATGGGCAGACCTCCATTCTGTGTCTTATCTCCCGAACAGTAAGAGCAGAAAAATGGAGCGGCCTGTCTGCTCTCCATCCCTCTGAATGTTTAATGAAGCATCCCTCTCCGTCTCCCTCCCTCCCTCCCGCTGCTGCCTCTCCAGCTCTCACCCATCATCTACTTCTGCTTGCTCCATCCCTGTTTGTCTAGATCTCTCTTCCTGCAGGCGAACACACATCACACAGTTGCATTGGCCCAGGATGAGATCTGAATGCTGACGAGGGTCGAGAAACTTCGGGTCCAGATTTTTCCAAATGTACAGTTTGTTTCCACTTAACTTTTGTCTTGACGCCTGAGGTTGGGCTGTTTGTCGGTCTTTGTTCTGATGACACAGTCTGGTATGAACAATATCCTGCAGACTGGCTCCACTTGAAGATCATAGTCACATCTGATGCTGTTTAGAAAGCAGGATTTGACTTTTCAAGATAAAAGCTGCTGTTTTGCCTTAATCTAGAGTTCAGATCGCCAAATGTTACCTACAAGTTCTTTGTCTTTATTTCTGACCCCTGAAAAAGCTAAATAGACCAAGGAAAGCTGTTATTAGTGGTGAACTTTGATTATTATTTTTTTTTATTTCAGAGGCTACTATTAATTTATTGCATTTTAATTGAAAATATATTGGGAAAGTAAGCAACATTTTTAATTTAAAAACCAATTTTAGCTACAAAATTTTTGAATAAATAAACGAGTTCAATATGTTAGCGGATATTAGCAGATATTAGCGGATGTCAGTGGATGTTAGCGGATGTTAGCTGATGTTAGCGGATGTTAGCAGATGTTAGCGAATGTCACTTGTGCGTCTGATTTCCGGGCGTACCAGAAACACGTAAATATAAAGGTTCTAATTTGGGACATCCAATTTTATATTTGTTAAAAATGTGATTAATTACGCCAAAATCAATCCAATAATTGAAATGAACCTGTTAAAAGTCCCGGCCTGAGTTTTAATTTGCTAATATCACCATTTTGCTTTCAGGTTGAACTGCAACTGCGACTTTTCAACGTTAGCATCTAAACTACAGGACGAAGTCTGCAGTCGGGGTTTCCGGTCTGGTTTTGGAGACGATGGTAACTTGTTTACCTCATCTCCACTTCTTTGCAGATGATGTGATTCTATCGCCATAATTAGACCTTGAACTTAGCACACAATAGCATGGCTGACCCCTGGTTGGTTCTCAACCAGAAAGACGTTTCTGCCAAAAGAATCTAAGATAAGAGCAGCTAGAATGATGAAAGCGAGGTTGGGTCATCCTGAGAGATGAGCTGATGAACTTTGGGAAGATCTACCACTCCTCCATGTAGAAAGGCGTCAGCTGAAGGAGTTTAGGTCACCAGGAGGAAAACCTGGGAATCTGGGAGCCAAGTCAACACGTCAACCAATTCCTGAACCGTTTGGTGTTACTGGTGAAGAGTCGCAGCCACCTGGAAGCCTTTGAATCAAACCACTGCAGCTTTTGATTCTCCAGAGGAGGAATGAGTTGCTTTGGTCCAGTCATCTACCATTCATCACTATTTGTTCCTAGTAAACTGAATCAGATCCAGACGCTGAGCTAAAGGAAATGACACAAACAGAACCAGAACCTTGACTTTACATCACCTACTGCAGATTTAACATAACGATCCTTTAACCAATCAGCCTTAGCTTTGGAGAACCAGGTTTAAAATACTAAAATATCCTCACTACAGACTAAAGCCCAGGAAAACACATCTAAATTCATAACTCAGATTTCTCCCCAGTGACTTGACTAAATGTCTCAGGACACACATGGAGTAACTATGAATAAAAGCAATTCCCTAAAACCAAAAAGGTCTATTTTTCTCTGATTTCTCAGATTCTGATTTAGTGAGCTGCACAGAACATCCAACATGCAGAAAACTTTCCACTCCACTGCTGGGAACATCGACACAAAAAGACAAACAGCCGTGTGTGAGTGTGTTGTTTCCACGCGCATGTGGGTGTGATGCGAGCGAGCGCACTCCTGACTCCCAGCCGCAGGACTTCAAATTATCCCCAGGCTCCTCCAAAGCACACTTCAGAATTTCTGTCTGCTTTCCAAACTCATTACTTCAGTGGGGCAAATCAAACAGGGCGCATTAAACGGAGCTCCGACGTAAAGAGAGTGGAGAGCACGGCAGAGACGAGCGCCTGCGTGTTAATTAGCAGGATCCTGCTGTAATTAATGGCCTATGAACAGGCCTGCTGGGTGAGGAGTGGAGGTCAGACACCTGAGCGGCCGCAGCCAGCCCAACGTCTTCCAGGCTATCAGATTACACCAACCTGAGGCGAACCACGCCGGCTGACATGCAGGAAGCTTCCAACATGGATGCTGTCAGAGCAATTAGAGTCCATGAATCATCAGCAGGGAGGCGATGACCTCTGACCCCACAGGAGAGACAGTTACTGCATCAGATTATTAATCTGGAAACTGAACTCTTAAACTCAAATAGATTAATACAACAGCAGGAAATAAAAATATGTTACTAAATATTTTTTACATAATTAATTATACTTGGAACAGAATTTACAGATTATTGCTTTGCATCCTTTTATGTTTTCATAAGATAATAAGATGATAACAGTTTTCAGAAAGTCTTGACTGCGTTGGGCTTTGAAACCTCGCAGGACAAACATTTTATTCCCCTCTGAGCTAAACCGTTCGTTCACAAACTGATGGAAAAGTTATTTAGACTTAAACCAACTGTTTTTATTTAAATCCACGTTTAGGACTGAGGCTGACCAGAAAATAAACGTCTTCTGAATATGGAGTAACTAACGTGTAATTAACATAACTAATATGAGTGATGAGTAACTAATAGTTTACTATGAGGTAAATAATGTCATACTAAAAATATCATGACATAGGATTTTTCAGTAGACTGTAAAAATATATATTTATATTTAAAATATATAATATTTTGTCCAAAAATTGATGAAAAATTAAACATTTTCTCTTCCTCAGTGGTAAAACTGTTTAATTTTGATTTCTTTGTTTAAATTAGATTGTAGATTAGGTCATTCATTAATAATCAATATTTAAAATCTATCAATATTTATTAATAACTAAATGTAAGAAGGCATATACATTAATAATGGATTAGTAGATGTATTTTCTCACCTTTTTCCCGTTCAGTGGGATCTTTAGTGATTAAGATCATTTTAAGTGTTAGAAGAAATTCTGGATGTAAAGAAATTAGGTTTTGCTCAATACTTTGGGTCTCCATGGCAACCGTTCAGGTTGGTAGCGGATGTGGGAGGAATCCACGAAGGAAACCGAAACTGAACCAGGGAAACAGCTGCTGGTCCTTCCTGACCCAGCGGCGTGTTTACAGCTGCAGCACCAAACACTCACCTCTACCCAACCTGATGACACAACGGCTAACAGCTAACGGCTAACAGCTAACGGCTAACAGCTGACCCGTTAGAAAGGTGACTCCTGCACCTTAAATCTGCAGCCAATGAGGCTCTGAAGCTTTACTTCCTACTCTACTAGTGTGAGAATCCGAGCGATGCCGCGGCCTTTCTCTAGCGAACAAAGAGAGCATTCCCTCGCCAGCAGATCAATACGCCGGATCCATTCTGGTTTGTTAAGAGTAATAGACATGGATTTGAGGAGTCGAGAGGGAGGCTAACAGGCGCTGATTTAGCCAGACTGCACCGGACCCATTTACTCCTCAGCTTCAGCTAATAGGGTTTCTGCCGCCTCCAAAGCGCTTTGTAGCGCCGTCGCAGCGCCGCATACGCCACAAGAAAAATTACCCCCATTATGTCATCTCTATAATGATTCCTACTGAGAAAGCAGAGGCTACAATGGTGGTACAGTAAATTATAATAAACACCATTACTCTTGACGGCTCCTTCTGAGTTTGAGCGCGTGTGTCGAGGAGGACGATGATGGAGTGTGTGAGCGGCGGTGAAATTAAACTGGGGCTCAGGTGAGGAGCGGAGCGGCGGGGAGGAAGTCCAACACCCTGAGGACGGCTGCACACGGAGAACAGAGGAGAACAGGAGAACGGAGGGAGCTGACAGCCAGCGGACGGATGAGGAGATGGATGGCATGTAATGATGAAACGGATGGAGGACGAGACAAGAGAGACGTGCGCATCAGAGGCCATTACTCATCTGCGACGCGCACACGGACTGAAAACACCACGCAGGGGTGCCGGAGGAGCGTCTGCCACCCACCGCATCTCTCTCTCTTCCTGTCGTTCTCCTTCATCCCTCCCTCCATCTGCTCCTTCGCTCCTGGTTTCCTTCTGATCAAACTGTGAAATTTGACTTTTCCTCTCAGAGTTCTCCCTGACGTTTCAATAAACCATAAAACGACAAAATGACCAGAAAACTATTTATCCTGACAGACCTTGTTATGTTAGAGTTAAATTCTGTAAAGGCAGAAGTAACAGTGATTAAAACTTAGACTGAGCTTTAAATTAGACTCTGCTCCCTGAAGCATCACATCAGAAGCCTGAGTCCTGCAGCCTGACCCGTGGACTCGCCGCGCGGCGCAGGAAACTCCGTCTGCATCTGGCTGGATGCCGCAGCGACGCTGCAGCTCCCATAATGAGCACCCAGGGGAAATGTTGCACCGATCTCTTCACCAGGGTCTGAACAGACTTGTGCGATACTCTGACACTCCCCGGAGGCCGCAGGCTCTAAACAGCCATTTCCATAACAGAATGCTCACAGCGGCATGATGGGCTCCGTCCCCAGGGTGTCAGCTACAAGAGCAGGGCCGGGGCGCCGCAGCACGGGATCAATGCCTCTGATGAGTGACATTTTCATGTCAAGGATCTTTAATTAGACAAACATCAGGCCATCACACCCGCAGTGATCGAATGTTTCTCCAGGGAAGGTTTGAGGTTTTAAAAGCCAACAGCTAATTTACTCAGTTATTTCAGTTTCTGACGCAACAGCAGCGATCTGCATGAAACAAATCACCAAAATAAACTGTTTCTGATTGAATAGATCATGGATTTTAGTCAGAAGGAGTAGCTGTGAAGAAAAGCCCATCATGTCTGTTCAACAGAGCAGATAGCCTGACTAACCAAGCAGCTGCTTTTT